CCTCAGGGAGGCTATTAGGTCGTATAACAGTAAGAAATGTATTTTTCTATGGTTAAGTCTTAAAATTAAAGAAGCATTTAGCTTCCTCCCTTGTCAAGGATAGAATAAATTAGAGTAGTATTTATAATCTGGATGTCCCCATTTCTCATTTTCTATGTTTTAAAAGTCACATATAATAAATTACCAACATGACAGACAGGAGAGCATAGTAACCACACTTGTGAAATAACAACTCCACCTATCTCTCCCATGTTTTAAAAGAAAATATTTCAGATTTCCTTAGGTTGTTAACTACCTTCATCTTCTGGTTTCCTTAACTTACTAAATGCTTTCTGTTAAGCTCAATGAAAGCATATATTAATGTTACTATACAGAGCTCTTTTTAACAAATACATATACAGTACATTCACTTTTCCAAGCTTCCAGTAACATTGAGGAAAAGAAGTGAAAGTGGCCTAGTAGGAGAGCTGAAACGAAATAAGTTAATGAAACAACCATCTTCCCTTACCAAGTTGCTGGGATGCTCTAATCTTCAACACTGATGGTAATCAAGAGACAGAACTAATACACAAATAAGAAAAGCTCCTCCTCCCATGTAGGCACAAAAAAAAAAAACCTTTTTTTTTTTTGAATTATTAAGTTCTATATGGAGCAACTTATTGTTCTTCTTGCATGTCTTCTGAATTTAGTGCACGACAATGTCAGGAAAAAACAAGGAAAAACTTTCTTCACTAAGAAAACAAGCAAGGAGACAAGGCTAACCACAACACATCCAGCAGCAGTGTTTTCACCACCAAGGATACAGGCCCACAGACCTGAACACTGAAAGAAAAGAAATTTACAAGAGAAAGTGAGAGCAGAGAAGAAAAAAGAACAACAAAAAAATACTTTGAAGAAATCAAACAGAAGAAATTATACATACATAATATATATACATAAAATCCATAAAGAATAAAAAAAATACATATAACTTATTGCAATAACATCAATAAATCTATAAGACAAATACATAGCACCATGTCAGAACAAAAGAACATCACAAAGCCCAAGCAAAAACAAACAAACAAACACAGCTTATCTACAACTCAAAAATAGAGCTTCCAATAGCTTGGAGATGGATCTTAAACAGATTTGTGCTGAGGGTGTGTGTGGGTGGAGAGCCCAGGATATCTGATCTGAGCAATTAAGGCCTATTGGTACACACTGGGCCTTGCAAATGAGTTAGTTGAAGCTGATATGATTCCTTGAGGTAGAGAATAATTGGCTAACCTGCATGTTTCAACACAGCTAGATAATGTCTTCCCTGAGGAAATCATTGATTACTCTTACTATACTTGGGTTGTCACAGTTATTACTAGATTTTCTCTGGCTTATAGGAACTTATTCATAAATGGCATAGTCATTTCTTTAAGTTTCCAAATAAAGCTGAGTAAAAGAAGTGAAAATACACAGCAAGGTAGGAGTCCTGAAAGGAGGCACATGACACAGACAGATTCTTAATGATATGGCATGTGTATGACTGGTTCAAAACATTTAAAAAAAAAAAAAAAAGAAGTTACAACTAGAACTGCACATTCTCCTGTTTGATAATGACAAAATTTACATTTGTTTACGGTCAAGTGAGTAGATCACAATAAATGTTGAAAACTGCAGCAGCAACACCTGCTCTCAGGAATTTTCATATATGTTCATCCACCAAACTGTACATTTAGAAGGATATTTAAGAAATTTCTTCTGAATGGTGGTATGCAACAACCTTCTTATTTATGTAATCTGCTTCAAAATAAATAAATAAATAAATAAATGGTCACGCTTCAATTTATGATGGATCTGATCATTCTATTGTTTAAAAGAAGAAAAAAAAATCTCACACAGAATCACAGAATCACAGAATTTCTAGGTTGGAAGAGACCTCAAGATCATCGAGTCCAACCTCTGACCTAACGCTAACAGTCCCCACTAAACCATATCCCTAAGCTCTACATCTAAACGTCTTTTGAAGACTTCCAGGGATGGTGACTCCACCACCTCCCTGGGCAGCCTGTTCCAATGCCTCACAACCCTTTCAGTAAAGAAGCTCTTCCTAACATCTAACCTAAAACTTCCCTGGCGCAACTTTAGCCCGTTCCCCCTCGTCCTGTCACCAGGCACGTGGGAGAACAGGCCAACCCCCACCTCTCTACAGCCTCCTTTAAGGTATCTGTAGAGAGCGATAAGGTCGCCCCTGAGCCTCCTCTTCTCCAGGCTGAACAAGCGCAGCTCCCTCAGCCGCTCCTCATAGGACTTGCTCTCCAGGCCCCTCATCAGCTTCGTCACCCTTCTCTGGACCCGCTCAAGCACCTCGATGTCCTTCTTGTAGCGAGGGGCCCAAAACTGAACACAGTACTCGAGGTGCGGCCTCACCAGAGCCGAGTACAGGGGGACGATCACCTCCCTAGCCCTGCTGGTCACAGCTGTTTCTGATACAAGCCAGGATGCCGTTGGCCTTCTTGGCCACCTGAGCACACTGCTGGCTCATATTCAGCCGACTGTCCACCATCACTCCCAGGTCCTTCTCTGCCTGGCAGCTCTCCAACCACTCATCTCCCAGCCTGTAGCTGTGCTTGGGGTTATTGCGCCCCAGGTGCAGGACCCGGCACTTGGCCTTGTTGAACTTCATGCAGTTGACCTCAGCCCATCGGTGCAGCCTATCCAGATCCTCCTGCAGAGCCTTCCTACCCTCGAGCAGATCGACACACGCACCTAACTTGGTGTCATCTGCAAACTTACTGAGGATGCACTCAATGCCCTCGTCCAGATCATTGATGAAGATGTTGAAGAGGACCGGCCCCAGCACCGAGCCCTGGGGGACGCCACTAGTGACTGGCCTCCAACTGGACTTGACTCCATTTACCACGACTCTTTGGGCCCGGCTATCCAGCCAGTTTCTAACCCAACGAAGCGTGCGCCAGTCCAAGCCAAGAGCAGCCAGTTTCTTGAGGAGAATGCTGTGGGAGACGGTGTCAAAAGCCTTGCTGAAGTCAAGGTAGACCACATCCACAGCCTTTCCCTCGTCCACCCAGCGCGTCACTTTGTCATAGAAGGAGATCAGGTTCTCAGAGAAAAAATGCTCACACTTTCAAATCTAAGATAGTTAACATTCATTTTCAATCCGATGTGGAAATGCTATCACCATTGTGACAGAGCAAGGCTAACCATAATGTAACAATATCACCGCATTATATAGTACCACATCAGACCTATACTCCTCGTTGATCTGTGAGGGTCTAATCAAATAGGAAACAGCGTCTGCAGTATGAGGTAAAGCGACAATATTTATTTCTTCCAGAATCTCTCAAAATCTTCCTGTAGGGCACATTCTCCACACACTGCACTGTCTCTAAGAAAGGTCTGTTTCTATATATTGAGAGTACCTCCATAGAAATACCATGGCAGTTACAATCAGTTTATTTTGGAAAAAAAAAAAATCCTGAAGAATTTATTCATTAAAAACAATCTGATGATCTTTTATCACCAGTAACTTAGCATTTAAAACATGGTTTCTTCTGATGGATGAGAGTGCTTGGATCTTAGGCCTTATTACTTTTAATATATTTAAGTGTATGTGTGTATAGTAGCATGATAACTTATGTAGGACGAAATCAACTTAAAATTATAAAACCATTAAAAGAACTAAAGAAAAAATGGACAATAAGTTTAGAACTATTTATAAAGTATGAATGTAGAAATCTGTGTACAGAAATCATCCTGGAATTATTTAATCTTCTTTTGTCATAATTTACATTGTATACCTGAGTACCTGTTTCTACCAGTTTCTATCTTATGCATCAGGAATGATGACTGTGACAATTTTTCAAAACAGCAGCTCCTTGTTCTGTTTCAGCCATTACAATCTATATAACTTTGCTAAATGAAAACATGACCTTCTCTAGAGAACAGACAATAGGTGTTCCACTACCCAGTCAAAATTAAGTGAAATTGTTTGAAGGATCCTTTCTTTGTTCAGCATTATTATAGTGTTTGTCAGAAATACTTTATAACACAACCTTCAGTGTTTTTCCTTATATTGCAGTATTGCAGTGATATTCTTTTTGTTTGTTTGTTTTGTTTTTGTTTTCATTTAAGTCCTACAGAGAAACTGGTCAACCTGTGCAGGTCTGGTTTGAGAAGAAAAGCTTTTTAAACAGACTTCATATCAAGTAGCAGTACTCTTGCTGGCAAAATAGACTTCGTGTAACCACAGGAGTTCTCCATTTCTATTACACTGAACCTACAAATTGCACTTTTAATGATCTTATTCAAATAGCATGAGAAAGAAATGGCATGTCCAAATAAACCATCTTTGTACAGTTACAATTAGAGTGAAAGATAATTGAAACAGTCTGTTAAAGGATAATTTTGGGGGGGTTGATTGTTTGTCCTTTACCACTTTTCCCTTATTATAACAAAGCCTCATTAAACTAAGTAGTCTTAAGCATGAAGGAAAAGCTGAGTCAATCAATAAAAGCTTTTCAGAGCAGCAGAAAGCAGCATAACTTTTAGTTAAGCCTTGTTTCAGTGTAGTGCTCAGCTCAAAGAAATGTGGATATTTAATTAAGCAAGTGGAGAAGAGAAGAAAGAAACCTCTTGTAACTTAATCCCAAGAGACTGCGAGTAACTACAGGGAACAATTAATATACGTGGCTTTAAGTTTTAAAAGGTGAAATCTCAAGTATTGATTAGTAAGTATGTAATAGGAAGAAGGCATTCAAGAGAAATATTGGGTACAATGGGTACAAGACCAGTAAAACAATTTACACCAAAATACTAGTATGCAGAGTGGCATGGTGCAATATAATAAAAAACACTGACCCTTTAAGATTTCAACAGGTTTTTGGTAAGTAATGTCAGAGGCCTCAGTGCACTAATAGGTCCTAAATGCCCTAACCAGCCACATCTGGGGCCTCCTCTGAGCAGCTCATTTAAGCTCAAGGATCTGCTCTAGCCAGGTTTCTGAAGGACTGCATAGTATTATTAGGAGGATTATGGGCCTGCTTTATGGCACTGTTGTGCCTGGTGATTACTATATCTGCTGTTATTGTTTGCTACTGGTACTGTGGGATTGTGCTGTTGTGGTGAGGTTTGCCTATATAGTATTTAGCCTTTCCTTAAAAAATTTAAATATTAGATATAGTATGGGGGGGGGGGGGGGAGGGTGGAAGGATGTATTAGCTGATCTGGTGTCCAAAGACTCCAGAAAGCATACCATAAAAGAAAAAGATACATTTTTAAGTAGACTGCTTTTCCTGTATGAAATAAAAAAGTAACAGAGGTAATGGTAACCTTCCATCATGAAGTCATGCCCGTAAAAGGAGAGACATTGCATATTCTTGAAGGAAGGGAAAAATAATTCACTATAGACCAAAAAAGATTGTAATAATTGCTGCAATGCTTCATGTAATTTATGAAGGATAAATTTTATAGTTCCTTATTGTGGGCTGTTAAGTAAGTAAGCAGATTGTAAAAGCATTTTTTGTCCTGCTTCTGAGAACTAAACTCACCTTTCCTGGGATGATGGGAGACGGTCGGCGACTCAGAACAATTTATATTTCCTTTAGAAGGTGCTAAACATTTCTTTTCAGCTATATATAGTGTTAAAATAAAATAGTCTTATCTGATAAATGTTAAATTTTTTGACACTTTACTCATTGAAGGATAGGTTACAATAAACCAAGATAAATTTTCTAAGTATAATTCTTATCTAATGGCCTCTCAGGGAAAAGAAGAAAAAATTGAAAAGCTATTTCAGTGCCACATCTCTGAGCTTAAATAGGTGATCTTGACTTCCATGGCTACTTGATCAAATCAATTTCTTTGAGAAAGGTATGCTATTCTAGAAACTTTCAGTATTCTTAAGTCTTAAGTGATAATGAAAGGATATCTATGGAACATTTTGCCCCGAAACTTTTTAGTTAGAGACGTCTGTGAGTATCAGGTGAAAAATCAAAGTATTTCTTTTATTCAACTTCTCGGTTTACTGAAGCTTAAAGAATGTCTTGCTTGTTTGTACTTGGGTGATGCATTGAGACTATTTTTATGTGCAGACAGACTTCAGATGGGCTGCAACAAGCTGTTGGCTATTGTCTGCAAAGTCTAAGCATTCAGTTAAAGATACATTTAACTGTGCAAAGGAAGATTTTAGATTGGAAATAAGCAAAAAGTAAATCATTCTGCTCAAATGCTATATTAAATAACTCATGCATTAATGTCACAACTCTACCTTCAAATATTGATTTTACAGGGAAGTTGACATGTTATGGGAAATGTTTTATAAATGTTTCTCAAAGTAAAACAATGTTCCTTCTCATGCATTTTTTTTGTTTGAATCCTGGGTTTGGCTTGGCAAACTGGATCCAGGGAACTGTTTTGTTTGTTTTGCTTCTGGCTTTATGGCCTTAATATTGCTTTTTACAGAAATGCAATAATTAAAAGCACATTGAAAGGCCTGGTTAAATACAGCATAAAGGTACTACAACAACATGATACATTACATATCTTGTTTCAGAAACTAATTAAAACATATGTTTTGCTGATGTGATGATGTATTGTGTGGTAACTAACCCTGAAAGCATGTTATCTCTCTGCCTAGCCTCCAGCACCTTGTTAGTTCCCCTGTAGACTGATGGCATCAGAAGCTTAGGAACTGAGTAGTTGCTATCAGGCATATACTTGTCTTGATTCTATTACCCCATTTTCAGTTTGGTCAGGTCTCACAACATGAATGTAGATTAAGATTTCATAGCTATTTCATTGTCAAATGACACTTCACATATTTGCTTTTCAAAGCTTCTATCAGCAAGAAGATATTACAATGTGCTCGATAACATCTGCAGTGCTGACAGTAGCAACAACACTCTCCCTGCTAACCACCCCCAAGAACATGACATCTCCAGCAGTAGTTTTCAGGCTGTTATGATGGATGGCAGTAGTTTTGTGTGCCCTGCTATATGGGACAGGGGTAAGGCATGGTGGGGAGATGCCGTGATGCAGATGTGAGGATGAAGGGGAATTTGACTACTGAGCTGCAGCTCTGAATGTCAGAGAGAATTAAGGCAGCAGAACAAATTATGTCAAGAACTCTATTTTCTTAAGCTATTTTAAACAGAAAATATTAAACTTAACTCCTTTTTATTACCTGGCTACCTTACAATGACCTGTGCTTGTCAAAAAAGCCAATTACAGTGGAAAAGTATTGCACTTGTATAATATTTGTAATGCAGCCTTGCAGTAGACAGTTCAAAAAAAAATCCACAATTTCTTCAGATAGTTAAATCTATACACTAGTAAATGCAAAGTATTAAAAGCTGTATGGAAGCATGAAAAATGTTCAAATGCCAAATTTTGGTTGTTTTCCTGTTTTGAAAGAATTTTATGGTCTCCCACTGAGATAATGTTGAAAATCTCTACTTTAACCCTGAAAAACAGATGGTAGCATTTTTAAGGAGGAGGAATTTTTCATTTTCATAGGGACAAAAACAGATGTAGGAAAGACTTGATCTATTTAATTTCATGTAACAGCTATGTATTTAAGTGAAAAATAGTGGAGCAGAGGGCATAGTTAGAGCTTTGTGAATTGGATGTACTTTCAGTGTGTGAAAAGCATTTAATTTCAGATTGCATTGTGGAAGAACATTGCTCTCCATATTTCTTCTGTTTACCTTCTTCCCAACAGTGTTCACTTCTACTGAAGCTTGTATTTGTATCTATTAAGTGAACTGCAGCTGAAGGGGGTGTGTGTGGCAGGTTTGAAGAACACCTCTAGAAAGAAAGGTTTAAAAAAGCAAAAATTAACCTGTTGACAAGTTTTTCTAGTCCCTATATATTTATATTGAGTTTTTGTAGATCACCTTGCTGTCTGACAGCAAGATCTATGGACCTTTAGGACTAAAGTCTGCTTGTGCAACTTCCTTGAATTCGTATTGCCTGCTTCATTCTCAATGTTACTGATGAATCATTCTTCTAGTGCATTTTGAGCTATCAAGAAATGAGCTTAATGCAATTATCTCCTGTGACACATATTGCCCATTATGGGGAGCTTTTAATGTGAAGGAGAAAGTTCACTTTGCTCTGGCATTCAGTGATATTCTCTGTAGTTTCAGTGGCTTGGCATCTGTACTAGGTAGGAGAATAAGTATTTATTGTGAATCTGTCTCGGTATTTTAGTTTTCCCTACAAAATTCTTTTAATCTCTGAAAAATTTTGGATGGGTACCATATTATATAAATTCATGTAATAATTTGATTTCTGAAATGTGTAAAAAAACACCATAAAACAACTTCAGCGATACCAAGTTGGTATTTGGTTGCTCTGCAAGTAATCTTTCTTTTTCTGATTAAAGAATATATGTAGCAAAATGCGACTTTGTGGCTGTCTTTATTTTACTAAAACAATAGAAACCTGACCTATGACATACTAACTTCCACGGTCACAAATTGCAGTCACGGCTTGATAAATGAAGCCAAAAAGATTAGTTTCCAGAATTCATTGTGGGTCTAATGCACTCTAATATTGTACCTTTTGAAGTATTTATTTGGAAGGAAGAATTTCTTCCCTTTTTCTCCCCTGTAAATAAAAATGCCAGTCTCAATTAGGCCTTACCTGCATCTTGAACTGATAGCGGTATCACTGCAAATAACTGCAGAATGCTATCTACTGTACACTGCTTATATTATTAGGCTAGAAATAAGTTACCAGTGAACTGTGCTCTGTATTTCAAGTTTCCGTATGCAGACATGTCCAAAATCTCTACAGAAATAGGGTGAACTTCAACAGTGTTTGAGTTTACCAGTGCTGTGGTAATGGGGTAAGGTTCAGAATAAAAACCCAGCAGTGATGTTTATCAGGTGGATTTTTAAAATAGAAGGGGACAATGTGCAGCTGAAGACTAGCAGGTAGCTAGCCATAAAGTCCAATAAGCTGAGAGCATGATGCCCAATAAGAAGTGGTACAATTAATGGCTGCTGTGGAGTAAATAAGAATCTTCACTACTTATTCCCTGTTAATCTTCTCAGTACTTGGTTCATTTTATCCTGATGGGGTCAGGATCTGACCCAGGGCAAGACCTAACTGTTCCATAAGAATGTCTACCACTACTAACTTAAGCTTTATACTATTTTGAAAATAGGAATTCTCACAGACAAATGGCTTGCAGTATGAATTAACATGTTTGCAGTTTCAGTCAGATCACACATTTTAGGTTACTTTTCCAAAGAATCTGCATGTTTTGACCTCTTCCCAATTCTCTTGCCTTTTCTATTGCTTGAACCTTGGGCCCATTCTAACCAAATGTAATGTGAAAATATTTTTAGCCATTGTAAGCTTCACTAAAACATATATGAGGAGACAGATGGGAGAAACCTCAGATACAAGAAAAACTGTGAGTTCAACCACACTGGGGGTGGGGGGGAGATGAAATGGCATATGATATCCATATGGTATATCAGGTTTCAAGGCTTACACTGCTTACACAGTATTTAAACTACTTGTAATTTAGACTAAAGCAAAAATGTGAGTGTCTGATAATATATGAAGGAACGGGCAGCATAGATCAGGTTCCCCTAGCATAAACACTAAATGAGGCACGTGGGCAATGACCAATATTATTCCTGCAGCAAAATATTATGGTTGGAAAAAGAGTTGGCTTGCACAGGGGACACAACTGTGTCCCAATAATAGTTGCATTTTCCTGCAAGTGACTGTGTTCTAGTCTGTCTTCCTATTTTTTTCCCTGGACTGACTATAATGGTTATCAAGCTCTCCAATAGTCCACAAAGCAGGCTAAACGTGCAATATATTCCTCCTACCTTCCTTAAATAGGTTCCTCTTCAAGGAGAAGCTTTTCTTCAGAAAGCACAACACAAACTGGCGGGGAAAAAACAAACAAACAAAAAAAAAAACCACCAAACTAACCCGCTCTCTTCAATTTAAAACCAAGTCACAACATCTAATGTGTCTTGGGAGGACCTTGTATAACTAAGATGTGTGTGTTTTGCCTGTATTAGCTGGCATATTTCATTGACTGAAAAGTTCGTGTAAAGTGAATTTAAACATTTCTGACTCCATTTATGATTTAGTTGGCAGTTCTATTTTCTTACTGAAATTCTATCATTTCCTTCCACAGAGGAATAATCAAAGACAGGTGTTGTTTTTTCATATCAAATGTATGCTTCTTTTTTTTAAAGAGACAGACGGAAAAGTGATTACTTCTTTAGGAAAAACATGTCCTGGAAAGGTGCATATTTCTCTATATTTTACTTTTTTTTTTTTTTCTTTTCCCTCTTGTCTACTTGATAATCATGATCTGTGTGTTTACATGATATCTTGATCTACTCTGGAAAAATGTCAGAATTGTTTTCTGGAGCTACAACACAATGACAGTTTTATCAATCTTTTCAAATTCCCCTAGTGTTTTTCTCCAGGGCTCTTGCTCAGTTTTACAGCTGTCAAAAAACTAACCTGGAGAGCAGGGAGGAGTAAAATTTTTTTCTTAGGTTTAAAGAAAAACTGTCTTGGCACCTCTTCAAGTTAGTTCACATCCCTATCATTTCAAAAACTGAAGAAGTAATCTCATCTCTACTTCGTTCAAATTACACGGAACCCATTTCAGAAATCTGAGCAAGGATGGATCATGCCTGTACCCAGAAGCAACTGTCTGTGTTCACTTTTGTTTTGCATTGAAGTGAGTGGAGCTATTCCATCTCTGCTCTGCGGTCACCTTTATATTTCAGTGTTCAGTATAAAAACCTGTGCCAAACGATGGAGAAACAAGGGGAGAGGGGAAAAAAAAAAAAAAAAAAAAAAAGAATTTGATATACCAGAGAAAGTTAAATAGGTTACAAAGGCATGAACATTTGCCTTAGAATTTATTAAGAAAATTCAATATATAGCTGTGCACCTTTTCCAGCAACATAGAATCATCCTTCAAGTCAGAGCTTGTTTCTTGTTTGTTTTCTTTTCCTCTTAGAACACCATCCAGAGCACAGGAATAGAGCAAATACCTTTTTCTCCAGTGTTGGACTTTCCCTTTTCCCATCAGGATTTGGAAGTTTGAAGATGCTTGCTCCAAAAGGGATGGGTCCATAATATCTAGGGAAAGAGAATTTTATTGGCTCCAGATCTTCTTTGAAACAACAGTATCCAAGTATTACAAGCAACAGTTCCAGATATGAATAACAAATATAATTTAGATTAACCTATGACAGCACAATATGCATCAATGGGTAACTCTTCATTTGTTTGCTGAATTAGTCAAAACAGTCCACATGCTGAACTAACACATCCACTCTTTTTTCTAGTGTGTGAGTAGACAGAACAATATTTTTTTTCTCCTCCCCATTAGGAGCTTTCAGTGATGTAGAAATATCACATTATTCAGACTTCAGTTATTTATTGTTGTATCATGCCTGATCAATTCATGTTTTTTTTACTATCATCAAATTAGATATCAGGTGAGACAAAAGTAATAGGCATGGGGACTATCTTGTTTTGGTGTTGTGTGCCTACTAAGGCTATCCTTCACAGGCTAGTGAGGTTAATTTGCAGCAAGGTGCAACAGTAGATTAATAATTATCTTAAAGGCTTGCTGCCTCTTTGCTATGAATTTGCAATGAAAATATCCTGCCAGCTTCCAGAGGCAGGTAAACAACCTGTATATAAATTTATCATCATCTGTGAGATGACACCTACTACTAGGAACAGATGAATGAGTTTTATTTCTGTGTATTAATCAGGTTCCTGACAGCCATTTTTATGCAGGATTTTCACTTTGACACCCCTTTGACGCTTTGTGTAAACTGCTATCTTCAGTCCTGCTCCTGCCCAGACGGAAAGCAAGTGACAATCCAGAGGAACCATCATTTTTCAGGCCTTCAGTAGACCAACATGATACGGAATATAAACCTTCCCTTGTAAAGTCTCACCAAACAAAGCAGAAAAGCCTCTGAAGTATATCTGCAGTCCAGTTCACTGAGCAGATAATCCAATTTGTTTGTTTTATTTTTTTTTTTGCTTTTGTTTTTTTTTTCCTGATTGCTTTTACCACCCCCATCATCCTGCTGAACTGCTTCCTGAGAAATCATCTGCACTTGACTGTGCTTAGTTTTTGTGAGGACTTTTTCACACCAGAAGGAGCAAACATCGTTAACAAATGTAATTGACATGAAAATAAGTTACAAGGGCTTGAAGGGGAGCTCAGATAAGTGGGGGGTCACTATTTTAACTGTAGATAAAATTTTCTGTGCACATGTTGAAAGTGACTTGCAGTAGGACTTGGACTTTTTGGTGTTCACCAGCGTAATAGACAGTTATTGGTATAAGAAAGAATTAGAAATGATCACACCAGCTGATTGTCCGCACAGGTAATACTAATGTGGGACTTCTTTGTATTGTAGAAATAGCCTGTAATTCTGCATTTCAGAGGTATTTTCAACAATTTAACTGTATATATCTAAATATGTAATCATTTTCCCTATTTCTTGATCTCTGGAGTTTTGCTAATACTGCAACTGGTAGTAGAAAAAAAAATCTATGTAAGCCTAGGACACAAGGAGGTAAATCATTCAAATGGTATAATATGAAGACACACAATTTCCAACCTGTACAACAATGATCTAAAATTAACACAGTGCTTATCTCGTAGTTTTCTATTTGCATGCAATTTAGGAAAAGTAGCGAGACATACTTCAAGAAATATATAATAGTGAATGCAATTTGTATGCAAATTTACAGCACATGTTTCTGTTTAAGGTAAATGTTGCTTTAATCAGTTCTGCAGTGGTGGAAGTATTATTCAAATTAGTTTTAACATGGTGCAGGTGGCTTTCCAGGCATAGCCAGTCTATCTTGCAGTCATATAATGAAAAGCAAGGGCCATGGCTTCACCTATGCTTTGGACCTTTCTGGTGTATTTTAGGTTGTTTGACGCTCTGAGGTTATGAAGTAGTAGTTCTAATATTGTTAAATGCACTTTCTTCTGTGTCAAGTTGGACAGAAGGGACTTGTTTCTGTAGGTAATTTTTCTTCAGTGTTGTATTTTTTTTTTTAAAGGCTAGTTCTTACTAGTTTCCTTCTTGTAATGTAGGGAAAACATAACATACTGTATCTATTTTGATAGGGCACACAAATATAATCATGTAAAAAGGAAGCAATGTTTTAAGGTTCATCTTCACTTCTTATAGTGTATGGTATATAGCCAAAAAAAAAAATAATCATATGATTTATATGTAACTTTTAAGGGTTCAGTCCTGCTGTCAAACAAATTAAGGGCCTTAGTTCTTTTGTGTTAATCTTGTAGTATTTGAACTGAATAATGCACACAGTTGTGATTGATAATAGAAAGGTTTCTTGTCATTTACAACAT